CAGTCCTGCGCCATCCTCACAGCTGTAGCTAAGCTTGAACCCATCACTTATCCCACTTCCGCTCTGTGTTTCCTGTTTCCCTTCCTCCTTCTTTCCCAGCGCTTCTGAATTTTGTCTTTAAGTGAATGCTGCCCTTTGGATCTCGAATGGTTGACCGTTCTCTGGTGTGCACCTCACTAGTGTTCTTGCCCCTAGTGTTGTTCAGTGTCATTGAATCGGTTCTGACTCCTAGTAACTCATAGAGACCCTGTATAGGGTTTCCAAGGAGCAGCTGATTGGTTTGAACTGCCGACCTTGTGGTTCACAGTCCAGTGCTGATCCTATAGTGCCACACCAGGAGAACTGTCTGTTGCTTGGCTGAAAGTGGAACCATAGGATTGAGTTCAATTCCAGACCTGAAGGGTGACCAGGGCAGTTGTCTTGGGATTCTCCCAGTCTCTAAGCTTGGTCTTTTTTTTTTTTTTTTATGAATTTGAGTTTTCTTCCACTATTTCTCCCACTCTAGCTGGAGCTTTCTAATGGGATCCCTTTCCGAGCCGTTGGTAGTAGTAGCTGGGTTACCACATAGTTCTTCTGGTTGTATTTAACTTTTAGGACCCGCCATGTTGTTTTCCAAAGTATCTGTGCCTTTTACATCCCACCAGCATTATATGATGGCTCTAGTTTCTCCACAGCCTCCCCAACATGCGCTACTTTGTGTTTTTCTGGCAGTAGCCATCTTAGTGAGTGTGAGCCACGATTTTTGACAGATACAACTCCGTGTGTTCCTAACATGCATCATATTGTACACCCATCACCGTGATCTGTTTCCAAGGGTTTGTGTCAACCTTTTAACAGAAACACAAATGTCCGTCCCCACCCCAGTACAATTGTACAATATTTCAATGATTGGTTTCCTTTGTAATCTTTGCATTTTATTTTCTGTACTTAAAACCATTGGCCATAAAAATAAATAAATAAATAAATAAAAAACCATTGGCCACACATGGGGTCCAAGTTTTGTTTTTTTGTGCTGAGTGGCTCATGGCACAGAAAAGGTTAAGATACCCTCCCCCACCCCCACCCCCGCCACCACACACAGACACACAACCTGTGGCTCTGTTTGTTAAGTGTCACTGAGTTGGTTCCGACTCATAACACTGTGTGTTCCTGTGCCATCCTCACAATTGTTATATTTGAACCATTGTTGTAGCCGCTGTGTGCCAATGCACTCCACTGAGGGTCTTCCTGTTGTTCACTGACCCTCTCTGTTTCACTGGTCCCTCCTGGAGATGTATGTGAGATGAAATTTCCCCATCCCCTTCAGCCCTCCAGGTGTCCTATGGACAGCTTCTCCATCCACCTGTGAGCTCCTTCAAGGCAGGGGTGTGTCCACTTGTTTGCTCCTGTGATCCCAGTCTGGCTCGGAGCGTGTGTTCATTCCCCTGTGTTTCGCTGAATAGAAATGAAGTGGTTTTGGCAGAACAGGCTGGGAGGCCCAGGTCTCTTGAAGTTGCGCCCAGCACTGCCTGCAGCTGGCCAAGTCCAGGGTCAGATTGCTTGGTGGGGATTCATTCCAAACACACCCCTGTTCCAGGGACCCCTTGTGTGCCTTTATGCCTGTTGTAATTAGTGCTGTCCAAACAGTTCTGACTCATAGCAACCTTGTACAGGGTTTCCAAGGGGGGACTGGTGGGCTTGAACCACCAACCTTGTGGTTAACAGTTCAGTGTTTATCTTGCAGTGTAATACCAGGGCTCTTTGATGTGTGTGTTGTTGTTAAGTGCTGTCAAGTTAGTGCTGATTCATCGAGACCCTGTATAGTGTTTCTGAGATTGGACATCTTTTCAGAAGTAGAAAACCTCATTTTCAGGAGTAGAAATCTTTCCCTCATTGAACAGCTAGCTGGTGGGTTCGAACCACCGATCTTGTGGTTTGCAATCTAGTATTTATTCTACAGAGCCACTGCACCTAGGGGTCTCCAAACCACCCTGCTCCCAAACCCCAAACATTCGCAATCAGAGGGACTGTGCAAAACCCCTTCATCGACTTCTCCCTGTTGGGTCTTCTGAAACTGGGGGAACTCTTTCAGCTCCCTCCCTGACCTTGCTTTATAAAAATATAGGCTGGGATGTAAAATTAATGTTCTTCCATGTAAACTATCACATAATTCACAATAAAACATTTTAAAAAATTATATATATATGTATATATATAGACTGGGGCCTCTGGAAGCCTGTAAACTCACAGGCTACAAAAGCAATGAAAACCACAAGGCAGTCGTTGAAAAGCTTGCACATTCTAATGTGCTTTTCAAAGGAAGCATTCAAAAGAAGGGAGTGGCTGCAGGGAGAGGATTAAATTGTTAGAAAAAAACCACAAACAAACCAAACTGCTCTGAAAGCAACACAGCACATTGGGAACGGGCTCTGAAGCTTGGGTCCATTTCCCACCATCTGTCCCCCTCCCCCTGTCCAGTCATCCACTCCTTCCAGCTGACCCTGTTCTTCGGTCCAGCATGTTCTCTCCTTGTCACCCGGGGTTCTTGTGTAAAGGTTTCGCCCACCCAACGCCCAACGCAGGGCCTGGGACACACAGCCCAGCCAGCGCTCTTGGCCAAACCGCTGGTGGTTGGGAAGAAAAAGCCCACAGATAATGCAGACTATTATTTTTTAAAGGTCTTTATTTATTATTTTCATTGTAACTATGGGCCTTGATGGAAAATTCACAAAGTACACAAATAAAAGAAGACAATTCCAACTGTGCTCCAACCAACCAAAGACAATTAAAACAAATAAACAACAACAAAAGATAAAAAAACCCCAGTTACCATGGAGTATATGTACTCTGACTTCCCAGGTATATCAGAGTAGAGCTATGTTCCACAGAGTAGTCAGCGGTTGCTTCTTCAGAAGGAAGTTGCCAGTCTTTTCTTCCAAGGTACCTCTAGGTGAACTCAAAGTTCCAACCTATTGTTAGCAGCCAAGCATGTAACTGTTTGGGCTACCCAGAGATGTCAACCAAAGACAATAGCCATCACTATTTTATGAATTTTCTTTTTTCAAAACAAAACAAAACAAAAAAACACAGTAAAGTTTTTTTTTGGTTTCTGTTTTCCTTTCTCCCCTAAAAAAGAGTTTGATACAGACTTGGGGGGTGCACTTTCTACCTTGTGGCTACCCAGAGGGGACTGAGTTGGCTTCAAGTCCTGAGGCCTGAGGAGTCACATGGGACAAGCAAAGGGCCAGTCCTTGGAGTGACTTAAGACACTACTGCCAGTGCTCCCTGGGTCCACCTGTCCAGCCCAGGCTCAAGGTCTCCAGCCTTTTGTTTATTAATTTTTAAAAAGTTTTTATTGTGAATTGAATGTTAGTTTACATGGGAGAACATCAGTTTTACACCATCGTTTCATTGCAATGATTACAGTTTCCCCGTGCATCATCACTCAACAGTATTTGTTTCCATTCCCTCTGGGTTATTTTTAGTTTTTGGTGGGGGTGAGGGTGTACACAAAAACACTCAGGAATATATAATCATTTAAACAACCAAAGGGCACATTCTGCAAGTCTGCCTTCTGGCCGCCAGCACACAGCCTTTCTCTTTCCATGAGTCTAGAGTCCTCAGCTGCCCTCTCTCCATGTCCTCATCTCTGCCTTCATTCATCTCTGGTGTCGCTGCTTCTCTGAATAGGGGCCTGCATTCCGCTCATGCTATTTTCTCTTGATGGTTCTAGGGTCCTCTGTTCCTGGACTGTAAGATTAATTACTCCCCTCTTTTCTTGCCTTTTATTTTTAAGAGCATAGTTTTTTGCTCTTAAAATGAATGGTAATGTTATAGTTACCAAATACATCATCTTGTCTCATTTTTTGGTATCATCTTTATAACCTACCTAAGCACTTTCCATCACAGATTCATCGTAAGAAGATTTTTTTGTGGACTAGCTAATTTTCCAAAGTGCAAGTATACCATAATTTATCAAAATAATTTTCTATTATTGGGTTTTGAGGTTGGTCTCTGTGAGTGGGAATCAACTTGGCAGCAATGGATCTAAGTTTGTTTCAAGTTTCATCTTGTTTTGTTTCTACCAAGTCTGGGCTGCTTTATCAATGTTTGCTGAGGACTTACTGTGAGCAAGGCACTCTGGGAAACTGGTGGCTAAGCCACACACAGTCTTTCTTATAAAATGCAGATAGAAATAACTGTAATCCAAAGTAAGCTGTAGTTCCTGTAAACTGGCAACTTGAACTGGAGAAATGGAGAACGTTGCCTGGGTTTCATCCAATTTTTCTTAAGTCACATGGGCATATCTGAGTGAAGGGAGAAGTGGGCAGTCAGGCAGAGAGGGGCTGGCGGGGTGGGGAACCAAAGCCAGCAGATAATGCTGCCTGAGGCAAGATGGTGGCTGGGGTGGTATTGTTGGTACTCATTAATGGATTGGCCATGGCTGCTCCTGGTGCAGAATGGAGATGGGGGGTGTCTGTCTTGGTGATTGATTAGCAATGTCTGCCCTGGACTTATGTAGGTGGAAAAATATCACTAAGACACCTGGCATACTTGGCCATCCCTCAGCCTGGGGTGTTAATCTCAGGTGACGCTTAAGGGCTGACTTCAACTTGACTGATGCCAAAAACTACATTCTGAAGTCTTTTATAACCCATACAAATAAATGTACTTAATGAATCACAGACATCTCAGGCCTTATGAGTTTTAAGATCTTCTTTTAGAGGGACTTGAAACCAAAGAGTATTTTTCCTGAGACCCAGTTAGGAGGCGAAAGCAGTGGGAAGCTGAGAGATGGAAGTGGGGCCTGATCCACTCTCCCGGCTCCACACTCAAGAGACCAGACCTGTTTCCCTTCCTTCCCCGGTGTCTCTTCTGCCTTAGCTATTTGACAACTTGCCCTATTTGACCACTTGCCCCCAGCTGTGTGGGCTCGTCTCCAGTGTTAGGAACTGGTCCCCATCTTTGGCACTCCCACTGCCTGGTCTTATGCCTCCTTTCCTTCAGCCCCCACAGGTGCCATGACGCAGCAGCCCCAGGAGGCCTTCGACAGGAGTGTGGAGGAGGCGCAGGTGTGGATGGAGGCCGTGCAAGAACGTCTGCATGTCAATGACAACACACAAGGGCCCCGCACCGCCCTGGAGGCCCGGCTCCGGGAGACAGAGGTACACACTACCCCAGCCTGAGACCCACACATCTCCTAGGGTTTAAGTGCAGGTTCTGATCCATAGGTTCTGGGCTGGGCCTGGGGCACTGTTCTCACCGGTTCCCAGGGGGCACCAGTGCTACTGGTCCCAGGACATCCCTTTGATAGGAAAGGACTAGAGCTAGTCCTAAGCCTCAGCTGCCAGGCTTGGCTTCCCAGCTCCTTTCCTGCTTCGTGTGGTGGGACTGAGGTCGCTGCCCGGAGTGGGTTGAGCCAGGACTGCCTTCATCAGATGGGAGGGGCTCTGCCCAGTGAGAGGGGGCCCCATGAGCACCCTCCCCCTTCAGACTGAGCTCCAGCTTTATCCCTCCACCCCTGGCCTAGCCTAAGGCTCAGTGCCTATGAAGCTAAACTGACCACAGGGTAGCAAAACCTCCGCTCTGGTTGCATGGAATGTCCCTTCTGCCTGAGTCTGGGGTGAAGGGAAGCAAACAAGTATTGGCGTAGTCAGCACATGGCAGGGCATGCCAGCAGAGCTAGACACGTAGAGGCCATTGTCTCTCTTGGTGTCGGGTCCCGTGCCACCTGTCCCTGCCCACATCCCCTTCCCAGGGCCTTGCTTGTCTTTACTAGACCACATCCCCACCTGATTCTGAGCCCTCTGCACAGCCAGGGGCATCCTGGCATTTCCTGGAGCTTGGCTTCCAAAAGCCAAATGCACTCTTCCCTAAATGTTTCTTGTTTCTTTACCTTTACCCAAGTCTCCATTTCCAAATACGTGCACCCTCGCTCCAGGCTTGGTGCCAATATGCCTCTCCGTGAAACCTTCTTGGATTTGCCAAGACTCTTCCCTGGTCTTCTCATGATGATTTGTGGTCGATTATGACTCTTTTCATGGAGTCCTGGGGTGGCACTGAGGGTTAATGCGCTGGACTGCAAAGTTGGCAGTTCAAGCTCACCAGCTGCTCCTCGGAAACCCTGTATTGCTATGAATCAGAACCAACTCAACAGCACTGAACAAAAACAGTGACTCTTTTTTGGTCTCTTATAGCTCTTTCTGTGGAGTCCTGGTGTGGTACTATAAGATAAGCACTAAACTTCTAACCACAAGGTTGGCTGTTCAAAACCCCCAGCCGCTCCTTGGAAACCCTATACGGGGTTATTAAGTCAGAAATGACTCAACAGCACTTAATAACAACAACAATAACATGGGTCTTTTCAAAATCCTGATGTGGCACTGTAGGGTAAGTACTAGACAGCTAACCACAAGGTCAGCAGTTCAAACCCACCAGCCTCTCTTCAGAAGCCTTACACAGAGATGCTGAATCAACGGCACTTAAAAACAGCAACATTGCTCTTTTAATAAATGTTGTTGTTGAATGCCTTCGAGTCGGTTCCAACACATAGTAACCCTGTATAGGGTTTCCTAGAAGCGGCTGATGGATTGGAAGCGCCAACATTGTGGTTACATACTTATCCTACAGTACCACACCAGGACTCCAATCAGGAAGACCAAAGAAGAATTGATACCTTTGAATTATGGTATTGGCAAAGAATTTTAAATGTACCTATGGGCTGCAAGGAGAATGAACAAATCTGTCATGGAAGAATAGTCAGAAGACTCTTTAGAAGCAAGCTTGATGAGATTTTGTCTCACTTTCTTTGGACATAGTTCCAGGAGGGACCAGTCGCTGGAGAAGGACATCATGCTTGGTAAAGTTAGAGGGTCAGAGAAAAACAGGAAGACCCTGTTGGCACAGTGGCAGCAGCTATGGGCTCCAATGTATTGATTTTGAGGATGGCGCAGGACCGGGCAGTGTTTTGGTCACTGTGAGTTAGAACTGACTTGACGGTACCTAACAATAATGACAACATGACTCTCTTCACAGTCACTGATGTTCTGTCTGCATGTACCTCTATGTCTTAGCCTGTGCGCTCAGGGCCCTGTCTCCTTCATTCTAGCCCCCAGTGCCCAGCATGGTGCTAACACATAGTAGATGCTCCACTCATCTATCAGTTTGTTGGACTGGGGTCGTTTGTATGTTGCTGTGATGCTGGAAACTATGCCACTGATATTTTAAATACCAACAGGGTCACCCATGGTGGACAGATTTCAGCTGAGCTTCCAGACAAAGATAGACTAGGAAGAAAGAGAGATGGACCACTTCTGAATATTTAGTCACTGAAAGCCAAATGAATAGCAGCGGAACACTGTCAGCACTAGATTATTGAATACTGAAACATGATGGAGAGCACCAGAATATTGTCAGATATAATGCTGGAAGATGAGCCCCTCAGGTTGGAAGGCACTCAAAATGCGACTGGGGGAAGAGCTGTCTCCTCAAAACAAAGTTGACCGTGATGATGCGAATGGAGTAAGGTCCTCGGGACCTTCATTTGCTGATGGGGCACAACTCAAAATGAAGAGAAACAGCTGTAAAAGAAAAAACATTAAGGACCAATCCATGGAGAAGGATATCATGCTTAGTAAAGTGGAGGGTCGGAGAAAAAGAGGAAGACCCCCAGCGAGATGGAGTACATCAATGGACTTAAGAGTAGCAATGATTGTAAGGTTGCCCCAGGACCGGGCAATGTTTCTTTCTGTTGTACGTAGGGTCACTATGAGTCGGAACCGACTACATGGCACCCCACAACAATAGCTGGTCTTGGCTGGGTTTGGGGGAAGCTCTGAGTAACCCCATTTCCCCAGCTTTCAGATCTTCTCATTCTCCCCACCCTCTGAATTCTTCTCTCCACCCAACTCCCACATGATCTTTGCTCTCACTGACTGCTTCAAATCAGAACTTCTTGGGGACTGTTCCCAGAGCTCCTTCCCAGCTGGCTGAGTGTCCCTTGCCAAGTGCTCCTGGACCCTGGACCGTGCCCTTTCTGATGATGGCTATAAAATAGCTTAGCACCAGCCAAGGAATACAAACAGATGGGCAGTGAAGGCGGGTGAAATCTGCTTCTGCCAATGTGGATTCTAGTTCAGTTAGAACCTCTGGCCTCCCTGGCCCCAGGCACACCACACACCCTCTCGGTCACTGCCCTCTAGGCAATTCCAACTCAGGACACAGGAGAACAGCTCCCTACAGTTGCCAAGGTTATAACCTTAATGGAAGCCTACAGCCTCATCTTTTCCCCAGAGAGCATCCTGGTGGGTTTGAACCACCAATGCTTAACCCATGGGCCACTTGGGGTCTTTGACAAACCTTCTGCCTGCTAATGTTTAAGGGCAGCTACTGCTGTCTCGAGCTCTAGTAGCGTAGTGGTTACGAATCGGGCTGCGAACCTTAAGGCTAGCAGTTCGAAACTACCAGCCGCTCCGTGGGAGAAAGATGAGGTGATCTGCTCCCATAAAGATTGAAAGCCTTGGAAACCCTGTACAGGGTCGCTACTCGACGGCACTTAACAACAACAACACTGCTGTCTCAAACCAGGCAAGGTTGGTGCTGACTGTCCAGCTCTTCTCCCTCTGGTGGGGAAACACCCAGCTCACTGTCCTGCACAGGGCAGTGGGGGACAGGGTCCAGCCTGGGCCTCCCTCTAGGGCACCAGGAGGGCAGGGGTGCAGAACCCAGAGAGATCACGCAGTTGGGACACCAGGCTTCAGGGAAGGGGCAGGGTGTCCTCATTGGGACATGCCGGACCTGGTAGTTTCCTACTGGGTGTGGCAAAGTGAGATTGAATATCACTTCTTTGGCTCTCTGGGTTTCTGGCATAGGTTTCTCCTCACTGAAACTGGGCAGTGGGCGTCAAGGATCCCGGGCATCCCCAGCTCGCTCATAGTTGAAACAGACGTACCATAGTGCCCATCTTGTTAGCATCCTTGGGGGGTGGGGGCGGGCACAAACAGCTAGGTGCTGAACTACTGACCCAAAGATTAGAGGTTCAAACCCACCCACCTTGGAAATAAGGCCTTGGTGATCTGCTTCCATAAGGCCGCAACCTTGGAAACCCTAATAAAGCCTGGTGTAGCACGTTCCACTCTGCACACACGGGATTGCCGTAAGTCTGAATGAACTGGATGGAATCTAACAACGGCCTCACCCATCCTGTTAGCTTAGGGAGTGGATATGAAATTTACAACTCTCAGTGTCCGTACTCACATTTCCCTTATTGTTAGTAATTTGGGAGTCCCTGGCTGGTGCAAAGGGTTAATGCAACCGAAAGGCTGGAGGCTCCTCATGTTCACCCAGAGGTGCAGCAGTAGAAAGATCTGGAGATCTACTTCCATAGTCATTGAAACCCCTGTGGAGCACAGTTCCACTCTGACACACATGGGGTCACCATGAGTTGAGTCGATGGATGGTAACTATTTATTATTATTATGAATTCAATTAAATCTCTCTTTGAGGGTCAAGAAATCCATGCTCAGTCCCGTGTGGCCCCGTCTTGTGTGGTGTGAAGTGTGCCAGGCGGTGGGGAGGGGGCAGTCTTACTCAGTCCAGATCAGTTCACATTAGTCACCACGACAGCTTCTGTTGTCCACATTGCAGCTGGGTCCCAAGCAGGATTCTGAGTTCCCTGTCTGGGTACTTAAAGTACCCAGGGCCCCCTGAAGTCCTGCCCTAGCCTGCGATTTGCCACGCACCCCTCCCTCCAAACTAAACTAAGCACAGTATTTCTCTGTCTTGTGGGAAGGGGTGTGGGAGGCGCTCCCTCCTGCCCATCATCTTATCTGCTCCTCATCTGCATTCGGACAGCTGGGGGCATGGGCGGAGGCTTTGGTTAGCAGTTCATTGCTTTAACCATTCAGTCTGCCACCAGGATTCATTTACATCACTATTGTGGGATGAGCGGCTGGTGAGCTTGAACCGCTGACCTTGCAGTCCAGCACATTAACTCACAGCACCACATATTGATTATTAATTTATATGACTTTTAAATTAGCATCCTAATAGCCCTGTGGACTCCGGGTGTGGTACTGTAGGATCAGTACCGGACTGCGAACCACAAGGCCAGCAATTCAAACTACCGGCTGCTCCTCGGAAACCCTTTACTGAGTTGCTGTGAGTT